ATTAAGCATAAACTGTAGTTAGGAACATTTCGTTAAATCATCTTTTTCATCAGGGTTATGTCAGTTAGGATGTGAAAGGAGGCAAATTTTTGAAGGGTATTTAACCTGCAGAATTCCAACTCTTAAATGTAAGGTATCCTTTTTTCCCTTCTGAAGCACGAATCACCTAAGAAACTTTTTTTTTTAAAAAAAAAAAAAAAAAGCTTACAGTGCTAACAGGACATCAGCAAGTGTGCAAGTCATTGATCAACCTCTTAAAAAAATGCATGTCTAGGAAGCCTAACGAAGTGCCATTTCACAACAGTCTCCCACATTAAAGAACGCACCTGAGTCTATGAATTTGGACTGGTCATTTGTAAATGACTGATTACATTTGGTAAATAACTGGTTCCAATAATTGTTCCTGAAACAATTTGGTGAAAGACTTCAAACACATTCTTATCTGTTGTAAGTCATCATGAAATCATTAAACTGGAGCTCATTGTATTTAACTGAAAATCTGATCCTCTCTCTGTAAGAAGCTGAATGCCTGGGATCAATGGTATAGAAATCAGCAGAGTTATAAGATAAAAAAATTTTAGCAAAGCCAGAAGACTAAATGTAGTGATGGGTCTACATGAAAGAGCTGTCTATTTGGAAGTGGTGTTGGGATAATTATGGAGTAGTATTTAACATTCCATCCTATGTGAGATTCACTAAGTATAGATTTTCAAATATACAGAGTTCACCTCTTACAATGAAACTTAACATATACTTATTTTTTCTTTCTTTCTTTCTTATTTTTTTTTTTCTAAGATAAATGTGGTATGAGTGGAACTTGATTCAATATTGATCATTTAAAAATAAAGGTGCTGAATTTTACACCTGGTCTAAATTACACTTTAAGAAATGACTCACACCTACAAAATTTAGCACATTGAATATACAAGGACCTAATAATTACTGCACAGAAATATTACCAGCATTTCCATTGCATCCCTTGAAAGATGTGGGTGGACCTATAAATCCCAAGCATCTCCGTTGCAGTTATGGCTATTTCATCCTATCTACATGTGAGAGTTAATGCTGTTCCTGTAATTCCTGGTCTTCTTCTGACCTCGTCTTTGCCTGGAATTTGACCAAATTCTCTGTAGGTCTTAAACTACTTGGAAGACAATATCCTCCAATATCTTGCTTAGATCTTACCTAGATTTTGAAGAATATTTTATACAGAATAATGTAAATTCCCTTTGTCTTCATCTATTGAGACAGAGGAAGATTTTTCATAATCACAATGTTAAAGTCAGAGGGCTTGAGAAAATACACAAAATCTAGGTGTCAGGAAAAGAGTAACATTGGTAAAGGAAATCAGGAGACCAGCCCAAATGCTGCCCGATCATTAACCCTTCAAAACTGCAAAAAAAAAAAAAAAAAAAATACATACAGCCTTCTAAGCACTCATTTAGCTGCAGATCTGTGAAATAGCAGATCTGCAGCTTACCAACTGAAGACGACAAGCACATTCTCCAATCTTCAGACCAGCTGGAACATATTAACAGGATCAGATGCATGAGACAATTCCCTTACAGCTGCACGGAGTGCTTAGTGAGGGAGCTGAAGATTACCCATAGACAGGATTGTGCTACTCCAGTCTCTGGGGAGCAGTCTGTGCAAGCATTGCTGTAAGGACTGGCTTCCTTTCCCTTCTGAAGTTAGGTAGGGTGCTTGAAAAATGATATTCAGGAAAATATAATATCATTTCTGGAAAATATAATAGCATTTCTGATGTGCTTTGCACAGGGGAAAGCAACCTGCAGTGAGAGCCATGGAAGTTTTCATCACTTCAGTGCAAGAATAAAAAGTGAAGGGAAATTTTATCTGTGCAAGCTCTCTGCTCTGCACAGATATTACCCTGTATAGCTGAGTTTGCTCGGGTATTTGTTACTCAAAACAAGACCAGCACAGAAGTGTTGCAGGCATCGTTTAAGCCTTGTTACAAAGCACCACTTAATACATGCAGATCTTGAGTCTGTTTTAAAACTTGAGGGATACATTTTAAAACATGCTGCTTTGGGGAATCTCTATTATTTGTGCTGAATAGCCTTACTTCCTTTGTAAATCTTTTGTTTTGAAACAACGTGGAAAAAATCACATTAAAATCCATTTTCAGTGTAGCACTACTCTTGAAATCACCTTTCAGTTTGGCATAGATGGGCCAAGATCTTTTCCACCCTGCCAGGAAAAGAGCAATCACCTTCACAACATTATCCCTTAGCAATTCCTTGTTCTTTTGAACCAGTGTTTCAGATAAGGCCCTCTGCATTCCTGTCCTGCCTCTAGTAGTAATTTGTTAGATTCTTTAGAGGGATTACTCCCGATAAGACCATTAATAGAAAAAACTGCCCGCAATATTTGATTTATTCCTCTTGAGATGGTCTTCTGTGAAGCCTGAGAGCTATCATTGACCTGATTTTTGCTTCGTTCCTAAAAGACTACTTGGAAGCCCAGTTGCTCCATGTGGTGACTTGGTGACACCATGATTCAAGACATTAATGGCTACGTCTTATCTGCAGCTGTAGAAAGACCTAGCCACCAAATACAGTCATACTTAACGGCTTCCGTAGAGTAATACTTCCTCAGCAGGAGTTTCCAGAGATTTATTCAATGAACCCTGCTAATGTGGACTGTCTTGTGTCTGTGGAGACTACTTCATCGTCGCTCAGAGTGACAGAGCTATGATACCAGACGCCACCATCAAAGTTTTTGCTCTGCATTACATTTAGTAGAAGGACGTACGCTTAATAAGACTACCGTATGATTCATGCTCTGTCAATGCCAACTATTTGTTGTGATTCATCAGTAGTACAGCTTTTTAGAAACGAGTGCGTCTTTTAAACCAACATGAAAGGAGAATCGGAGATGTCCTCAAAGGGCATAGAATAGTAGATTAAAAAGATCAGGAGTACCATTGAATACAGTCATGTAAAATAAACTTTTTAGAATAGAAGAGTACCATTTTACACCACCGCCATGCAAACAGCACTTAAAACTAACTCGATGTTCTGTTTGCAGTATGAAGATGTAAGCATGAGGCGTAATATAGGCCCATTAAATGTTAGCTGTAATTTGGTAGTCATGCTGGGCTAGCGGGGCTGAGAAAGCTTTTTTCCTTCTCTCTGCTACTGCTTGGCTGATTTGTTTGGAGTTTGATCTAATTCCTCTAGTTGTGAAAAAAAGGCAAGTAATTCTGATGTGGGATATCCACATTATTACTTGTGGGGCTGCACTATAGCAAAAGCAGTGAAATAATATTGTACTACTTAGAATTTTGACTTATTTTCATTAAATAAAAGCTTTAGCCTAGAGTGATTTTATTGAAACAGTATGAAATTGCCTTTTTGTCCTTTCATTAGCATTTTTCCCCTTCTCCATACTGAAGAGATCTTGGTTATAATGATTGTATTATTAATTAATTATTTTTCTTACAAAGACCAGAGTCAAACACAAAAGATTTCCAAGCCAGCTATGTGATTTAACCACGCAGTTCTCATAGGGGCTGTGTGGCTGAATGTGCTGGTCAGACATTTTAAAATGTGTTAGGTAAGGCATGTTGGATAAGATGGTATGTTTTAAAAGACCAGCTGCTACACATAGAAAAAAAGAAATTAAATTGCACACAGAAGCCCTTTCTCATGTCTGCCTTTAACTACAAAGTTTTTCTATTTTTCTCTTGGATAGCAACTGGTCTATTAAAAGTGGTAAAAAGTAAAAATGATTTCTCTCTGCAATTTTGCCCCTTTTCCATCATTATGGTGGGGATGCCTCAGATGCAGAAATCATGGTTGTAGTCATAGTGTGAATCGTGAAGCAGTTCTTCTGTCATTCCCTTCTTCTTGCCTGTTGAAACAGCCAGAACAGTTGTATCTGTGTTTACTTTAACAAGGGCCTAACAGACTGCAATGTCATATCTAAAATAAAACTATTTTTTTTTGGAGCTGAAGGTTTTAGTCAACCTGAGGTTTAACTAAACCTGAGGTTTAGTTAACCTCAACTTCCCATCCCAGTTCTGAAACGAACTACTCCTGATTTTGCTAATGAAAGTCATATATTTGGGTGAGACAATACGCACTGACAGATACATAATTTTTAATTACATATCTTCTAGTTGATGCAAGTCTTTGAATATCAAGCCCAATGTGTGTATTCCAAGGGGCTTCTACTTGACACTGCACAGCCTGTGAGGCAGCCAGTGCTGGCAATGAGGAAGACTTGGGATGGTAATGACTTGGCATGGTTGGTTCCAGACAATAGGCCCAAATCCTAACAGTGGTGATTTTAGGAATGCTTTACCAAAAAGAAACTTCAAGGTTAAAATATTAGGTTAAAATATCACTTGTAATGATTTTTTTTTTTTTTTAAATGTTTAAGCTCTTCAGCAACCTAAGCTGTTTCTTTTCTTCCTGTCCTGTAAACTCTCCCCCATACTTGCTAGATTACATTTCAGTACAGCAAACTGAAACTTTAGATCAGCCTAAGTCTGTTGGAGAAAGACTAACCGCTAGCCAAATGAAACATTATCCCAGCAGGGATCTTGCATTGGAGGCCAATTCAAATCAAAGAACATCTCCTGTTCTGCCCCACTGGGAGTTCTGTATCCTTCTGCTTCATGTTTGGGTTTGCTGGTGTGAGTTTTTATTCTAGAGGTGTACAAATTTATGCTAAGTAGTTATTTTTAATGGAAGTTTATTTAAATTCTGAATAATGCTAATGTAAGACAGATCTCTATTGACACTATATGTACCTTTGAGACATAAGTTAACATAAGTTAACATAAGGTTAAGTTACCTGCTGGGTACCTCCGACAGTCTCCTTGGTGGGGTGGAGGAATGTCCCAGTTGATGGCCTACCTTTAGCACCTCAGAGGTTGCAGCACGGAAAATGCTAGAAACCAGAAGGTAGCTAACTCTTCTGTTTTGTGCTTTGTGTTTAGTTAGTCTGTTTGTTTCTAATTCTTCTACCAGGTGCAAACCACAAAAAGAAAAACGATTCACAGGAAACTTTAGGAAACCCTTGTGAGCAAACGTCTCTCAAAACGAAGACCAGCAGAAGCATTAATCCTCCTGGTGTGAGAGACAACCCTGGCAAGGAGCTGCCTGTGAACAGGATAATTGATGTGGATGGAGTCAAGCTGGAAGACACCAGCACACGTTCCTGCGATGAGTCTGAAGGGAACCTCAGCTTTGAAGGTTATGTCTCGGAACTGAGATCTTGCCAAGGGAGGATGAGGACTGGAGTTTATCGGACATCAGACCTTCCGTCTCTGATTGCTGTAAAGAGTGAGAAGAATAAGGGCACTGAGAATCAGTATAAAGCTACTTTTGTTTAAATCTCTGTTTTTAATTAAGAGTTGTGGTATTTTTGCCTGGCATTGGCAGCAATGGAAATATGCCTTAGGGACATATTTCTGCGAGTTTTAAGTTGTTTTCAGTACCTGTTGCCTTCAACGAGCCTGCCAGACAGTCTGTTCTGATATGAGTTAGAACCTGTAGAATGAAAAGAGAAGTATTTCAATGAAAGTATTGAACTATTTGCTTTTGTTCTCTTACTGTTTATATATCATTTTCCCTGTCATGATTCTGTTGCACAGTGCAATTAAAATGATGATTTCCACCCCTACCCTTCTTGTCTTTAATAAAGACAAACTCACTTTAAGTTCCCCTATCGAAATTTTTATTTAAGATGACTTAATTTTAATCTTCTAATGCTTTTCCTGGTCTGCAGGATTCCCTGTGTGTTGGTTGACTTCTGAAGTAGAAGTAAAATCAGTTACTGTTGAAAAAAGGTTATGATTATTTTATTAATATCTTCCTATCTTTCTCATAACATTTGGGAAGAGGTCCAGGTGAAATTGAAATTCGCTTTTGTCCAATGGATTACCTGGCTTTTATGCAATACAACCTTTGTTACACAAGCAGTAAGAAGAAAAAAAAAAAAATCCTGTCCTGGGAATAACAGCTGCTCCTGTTGCCAACACCAGTGCTGTTTTCTCAGCAGAAATGTATGTGCTATTTACACAGCGGTGGGAGAGCCATCTAGGTCCCTCCTGAGCACTGCTCTTGGTGTCTTGGCTTTGGGGGAAGGTGGATTTTTGTTACCGCTCCTTCAGTAAGCTGTTAATTGCCACTTAGTCTTCTTGTCGTTGATACTACTTTCAGTTCATCTTCTAGCCTTGGGCAGAGTTTTGAGGAAGAAAAGGTACTACTGAACATGTTGCTTTGCCACATTCTCGTTTTCCTCATTTTTCATTTCTTCAGAAGAGGTGATGAGTCTGGACAAGCAAAAGTGTACACAGAGAGTTCTGGCTCTCTGTTCAGCTCTTTGAAACAATATAAAGTATATATATTGAGACCTTTTGGTGGTTCACCGCTTTGAAATTGCTTTGGGACTCAAAAAGTCATATTGCATAGCTCCCAGGCGGCAGAGCCACACAGACAGGAAGTCTAAAGCTGTGATTATTCATCAACTTCTTTTTCTTTGCTCCTTCTTACTAAAACTTACCAAGAACTGTGAAGTTTTAGAATACCAGAAAATACTGGAGAGTGTTACTCAGTTTCTTAAACTCATAGCTTTTTGTAAAACGAGAAGGAGCTACACAGAATTTTACAACAATAAAGTGTGGTTCCTAAAGCTTAAGAATTATACATTAAATACTCCAGTGATATAAAAGGACATAGCACCCATTAGCTTTACAAATTTAATTCTTTTTCATGATTAAGTGATTCTGCTCCTATTATTGAGGGAAACATTAGTATTAGTCTCAACACAGTGTGTGACTGAATGAGGATATGTGCTGTAAGAATAACTGGTGTTTTAAAAACTTCCAAGATTAAAACCCATTTGAGAGCCATGCTAAAATCACAGTGGTGGAGCAATGTTGGATATTAGGGGAATTCACAATAGCATTTTTGAGGCTGTCAGTGCTAGTTGGTAGCTGAGTATTTTATTCTCATGGCAGTGAATAAAATGAGCTGGTTGTCTGAGCTCAGATCCCACTGCAGCCAGGTATCCGTGCCAGGGAAACACAGCTGGCAGCAACTGAAATTAGAGGTAGGAGTGGGTGAACAGGCTTGGAAAGCGATGCAACTGGATCCCACACCGTGATGAACTGAGCTGCTGAAGCAGAGCCACAGTGCAGTGTGTGCGGGTTGGCTTTGCAAGCACTCAGCTTGTACCTGGGCTAGGGATAAAGGGGGAAAACTGTCTGCTCCTTTTGATCCATAGGTAGCTTTATATCATACTGTGTATCATCTATGTGGGACACAACAAAGCAGTGATAGCACAGTGATTATGAGAAAATGTTTAAAATATCTCTGTATTTTAAGTGGTTTTCCCATGTTTGTTTCTTACTGTTTTGGTAACATTTTGCTAAGAATTGCTTGTGATAAGTTATTTCTTTGCACAGATAAATGGGCATATTTATCCTACCTTCCAGCAAATTAGTAGCTTTGTTCTAATCAAGACCAACATTACACCAGTAAAGCTCAAGAGAGGGCTCAGTGACCTGTGACACATTTTGCACTTTTTGTGTGTTTTGGAAAATCAAATCCTGACCTCAAGCAGGTTAAAGCTTGAAATTAAAATACAATAATTACTGTATTTATAAATCCTTGATCAGTATTTTAGATGAAACCATCTTACATTGTGGAAGTGTGCCTAAGTGGTGTTTGGTGAGCAATATACAGTTCTTTAACTGGAAAAAGAGACAGCTGAGGGGAGGTATAATGATGTCCTAAAAACCTTGAGTGCTATGGGAAGGGTGGATAGGGACAGACTGTTCACTCTCTTCTAAGACAAGAGTTAGGGGCCACCAGGAGAAGCTGGTAGAAGTCAGGTTCAGTTCAAAGAGGTGGTTCTTCACCCCAAAATATGAGACTGGTGAAGACCTTAGCCAAAGGATGCTGGGGAGGTGGGAAATTTACAAGGGCTGCACTAGCAAGTAGTTGAAAGAGACCTACTGAGGTTTGCTAAACAGTCAAAACTCATGGGATCCAAGAAACCTCTTGAGCTTGAAACCCCACAGCTTGAGCTGGGTTGTTACACACGTGGAGGTTGGGTGGACACAGCTCAAGAGCATCTGGTTATCCAGCCTCTGTGCATCCTTAGCTGGTAGAGCTAGTTGGTTAATTTAAGATAACTGAAATTTGGTCTGTTTTCTTTCTGAAAGCTGGTAAGCTGAAGAAAAAGAAGGCAAACAACAACAACAAAAAAAGCTGTTTTTTAAATACTGAGTGCAGCAAACTGGGTCTGACTCTATTGAGGATTCAAAGGAGACTCAGGCTGCGTGCAGGAAAATGAAGGATGTGGAAGAACGGAATTTTCTTTAACATAGGGAAAAATCCTGGCACAATGCCTGGAAATCCTGTAAACAAGGGAACATGGGAAAAACATTCCTCTCTGCTCTGCACTGTTATGCCAGCTATTGACATATTGTTTAAAACAATGACTTCTTAGCTAGGACTTGTGAAAATTCATTACTTGGACTTAGAAATAATAATATTAGTTCTCCATTTCAATATCTGGCAGAAAAGAAAAATTAAACCTGCTGGAATAAGTTGCCACAGATCATGGAGTTAACAAAAACAAATGTGGAGAGCCTATCTCTGGCTGATGTTTTCCCCAGTTTTGCTAAGGTTATTGTCCAGTTTTAATTACCCTGTGACTTCAGCATTATAATATGGCTTTAAGTTACCTTATTATCCTGTGGTTTCCACTACTAATGAAATCTACTTGCAAGTAAAAAAGCAGCCCGTTTGAAGCACTCCTTGGCAGTGTAATCCTTTATTTTGCCAGTTAGTTCTTAAAGATAATCAGGCTTTATGTGGCTTTATTTCTCTTTTACTTTTCCCAGTTTTCCCGTGTTGAAGCTCCACTTACAGTCAGTTCCTCTTAAGGCCACAATGACACATAAAACAGGAATTTGATGTTCCCATCCTTTTATGTGGATGAGGGAGATCCACTGACCTACAGCCTCGAACTGTAAAACATAGTAATGCCAGAGATAAAAACAAAACAAAGCAAAACAAAACACTTAGAAAATCCTGTAGCTTTCTAAATTTTATTTAGTAAACCAGTTCTCTCATATTTTACTCGTTGTCATGGCATCTGAGCTTCAAATTGTAGTGGTTGCAGCCTCACAGGCTCCACAACAGTGACAGTCTTCTTGTTTATTGTTTTAAAAGCTCTGTGAAGAATAGAAAATACACATATAGGCAAACTTGAAAAGGGACTTTCCCCTCAGGATTACTCTAGCAGTGCGCCTTGTCAACAGATTTGTGATATAACAGACATGCAAAATAAACTGCTGCGCAATTTAGCTTTTGGGGCCTGCATGACAAATAACCGCTGTTTTATGAAGGCACATAAACAGGCTTTGCAAAGGGACTTTGCAAGAGATTTACTGCTCCGTGGGAAGGAGCCAATACCTGACTGCACCATGCACTTTCTCATGCCCTTCTGCGGGCTATTTAGTATCTTTCAAGGATGCTGGGTCCTTCTAGCACTACTTCTCCTCCTGAAAGTTTTGGACTCTTTTTCTTGCCTTTGCTGTCACGTGCATTGTTTGATTTTTCCTCATCTTGTGTTGGAATTTACTTTCTTGACAGAAAACTGCCAAAAGGCAGTGGTTCAGCCAGCAGCCTCCTTGTCTCTTTGGCACAGAGATAATCATGAGCCCATTTTGCTTTTTTGGAAGTAGCTGATTTTCACCACAAAACTGAAATCATTGACTGTAGTTGTTTCTCTGCAGGGGTGTTTCTGCCCATACCACCTCTGACACAGTATTGCTAGTGAATATTGTCATTAAAAATTGTCTCTCTTAACGTCATCTGTGGCTGGCAGACCAGACTGGTGTGTGGTAGCATGCTGCAGCATCTGCAATGAAACAGCCTAAGGCATCTTTTCTCCAGTTCTCAAAGATTTTGAAAAGCTTCCAAAGGCTCTGCTAGAGAAAGGCCCCAGCCCAACGGCAGGACCTTTTCAATAAGTGTGAGAAGCCAAAACTGTTGCAAGTCCAAGCCACTCCTCATTCCCCACCGCAGCTCATTGTGCTGGGTTTAGAAACGGCTGTATTTTCTGCATCACCAGGCAGATTTCCAAGCTCTGTGAGAATGTAACAAGCCAGTGTGACAACAGGGCTGCTCTGTGGATGATGTGGGTGTTTGCCCTGCAGCAAAAACAAGTGGCACATCCAAACACTTCTCTGCCTGTGCTCTTGGAGTATCCCAAGGTCAGCATCGTGGCAGCAGGGTACTGAACAACTGGTGGATTTGTGAATCATAACCCAATGCCAATTAAAACACAGGAAAAAACGTTCATTGATCTTACTAAAATATTTCCCTGCTGTAGACCCACCGTTATTTTTCACCAGGTCCCTCTTGATTTTTTTCAGAAGACCATTATCTGCTGGGAAGTGCTGGATGATCAGGTGCCTGCAAACCTTGCCTGCATTACTCAAAATGTTAGCAAATCCAATGCGTTACACATGAATGAACATGTTTTCCGAATTGCTTGTGTGGAAGATAAGGAAAGAAAATTGTTTATGTTTTTTCATCCTAAGTGATCATTCTGTTGAATAGTCTAAATATTGTGTTGTACAGTTTGATTTGTATTCTTGTTTTATTTGTGGTTGTGACTTTAAACTTCTCTATAATGGATTTCTAATATGAAAATGCACATTGAATTAATTTCTCATGCCTTGTCTTTCCAAAGTATTGAGAGATCTGTACTGCACAATGATGTGTTTATAGGATCTTCAGTGTGTCAAATATCTAAAATGTTAATTGTGTATTACTAAATAAATAATTTATACCACTGAAACTGATAGTGGTTTGTTGACATCTAATTTCAATGCAGGGGAAAAAAAAAGTGATTTTTTTTTTTTTTCAGTTATTCACAAGGAAAAGAAACTACATTATAATGACTACTGTACATGAACTTAAGTCGATGCATTTTAGAAAGCTTGCATTTTGTCCTCAACACTGGTTCTGGAGTGTGACTGAGCCAGGCACTGGCAGCCACGCAGTGAGCTCTTGTCCCCATAGCCCAGCTGATGGGACCTCCTGCCATTTGGATCTAGCACTTATGTACATCACAGCTTTAATGACAGTATGAGACAACTTGGAAGCAGACTGCACTTTATTAGAGCTTGCAAAAGCTCTATAGAGGAGCTCCTTAAACCTGGCTTACATAAAAAATTCCTTTAAAAGAGAGTTTTTAAGAATTCCTGCCAAATATTTATATACCTTAAAAATAACTCATCTTCAGGAATTTAATAATAGTGGGTTAGATTTTTAGCCTTTAATTAATTCCTTTTGCTCTATTCTAGCAAGACAAAAGAATTGCAATCCTAAGGTATGGCTGTGGCTGCATGTTTTCCAGGTATACAGACTAATCCCTCTTTGGCTGTCCTGTTGCATAGACCTGGGGTTGTCCAGCTGTGCAGTTTCTGCACGGATATATGCACTAAAACTGCTCTGCCTAGCTGCAATATATGAATGCACTACTGGCGATCAAGAGTGGAACAACCTAGGGCTCAGAGGGTCAGTGTTTGTGTACATTGATGTTAATCAGTGATGTGATAGTCCTTAAATGGTTCCCATCTCATTCACCACCCTTGTCATTCGTGCTTTGAACACTCTGCCAACGAACACCCTCCCAGAGCAAGGGTCTGTGCAGCAATTTGGGTACTAACAGCAGAAAATAATGACTGATGGGGATGGGATGAAAAGTAATTCTTCAAATTCCATGCCAACACTGTGTTATCTGCATGACAATCTGGTACCAGTTTTCAGTAATGATGCTGAATCCCTCCCATGCATCTACACAGAGCTGTAAAGGCACAAGAGCAACTGCAAGCACCTATAGCCTGCACCAGGTATTCTTAAATATTCTTAAATACTTCGTGACTGCTTTGCTAGGACACACTGACCTGTATTTCTCCGCTCACCTCTCTGCTCATGGTCTCAAAACAGTGTATAACTTAGCTCAAGCCTCAGTTTTGGAGCAGGCTGGCAAAGAAATGAAAGGCCAGCTAGAAGTACATCTAATTTAAGTTAATCCCCTTGGAGTGGAGAAAACTTAAATCACAGCACAAAAATGAAACTAATGTCTGTCTCCTATCCTGTGAGAGAGAACTGGGGTCTTAATGATTTGAGTCTTTCCTGAAAAGATGAACCCATGTTAAGGGAAAACTACCCTTTAATTACTATTCTCCCTCATTTAGAGACTTGCACAAGAATCCCTTTCAGTAACTATATTTGCTACTTTATGAATGACATAAAGTCACATACCAATGATATTCACATACCTTCCACCTCTTCCACAATTTTAAAGTTTCCAGAGCCAGTCCTACAACTAGGATGAAGCAATGCCTGGCTGAGATCAGTCCTCTGTATGTAAAGCAGTTAGCTGAAACTTATTTGCAACCAGGAGATAATTGGTGGTGGTGGGCACATATCTTTGATCTTTTCCTTGCTAATTGGAGCATTGAGTAAAATGTGTGCATGTGTGTGTTAGAAAATCCAGCACAATGCATGCCACAACTGCACTCCCTGGCAAGGGGGTGAAGGCAGAAGCACACTGGTGCCAATCTTCATGTTGGAAGGTGCCTGATGGCCAAACCAGCCATCACAAGACTGATGTCATGCCAGTTTCCTGCAGAATGACGATTCTGCCATTGCATTTTGTCTGTTTGATGAAGAACCTTTCCCTAACCCCCAGCCTGACCCTTCCCTGTCCCAGCTCCATGCCGGTCCCTCGGGTCCTGTCACTATCCCCAGAGAGCAGAGCTCAGCACCTGCCCTTCCGCTCCCCTCGTGAGGGAGCTGCAGGCCGCCATGAGGCCTCCCTTTGGCCTGCTCTGCTTGGGGTTGAACAAACCAAGGGGCCTCAGCTGCTTCTCATATGTCTTGCCCTCTAGACCCCTCACTATCTTTGTAGCCCTCCTTTGGACACTCTCTAGTAGTTTTATATCCTTCTTACACTGTGGCACCCGCAGCTGCACACGGTACTTGAGGTGAGGCTGCACCAGTGCAGAAGGTGAAAGGACTTGACTTAAGACATAATATTCCTTGCTGTGCAACTCCGTAACTAACAGCACTGGGCCTTGTGACAGCAAAGTCCACTTAAATTCAAAATAGGCATAACAGAGCTGATCTGAAAGTCATGATTTCCCTCCTAGGAGACACTGTCTGGGATCTTTTTGCCTAACTTTAGGTGTCTACTCTAAAGCTGCCTTTGTGCCCTGAACACAGGTGTTACTTTATGTAGTTGATAGAGATATAGTTCATCTTGTCTGTGGAATAAATGTGGAATAACAAATGAGTTGAAACATACATTTGGATGTGTGATCTGTACCTTAAATTTCATTCTTCTCTATTTTCTAGGTCTCCATTGGAGCCTCAGTCCCTGCCTCAGATGTAGATACATATGCAGCAGGTCCCTTGAAGTTAGGTGGGGTGAATCTGATCTGCCAGTTTCTCCTGATGTGTGAACAATGTAAGTCAATGACAGCTCAGATTGTTTCTGCAGCAATTACACAGAGCAGCAATTACATTTCTGCAGCAATTACAAGGAGTGGCACTGGAGTTACAGGGAAATGAGGGGAAAAAAAGAGAGAGAAGGAAACACAGCAGGAGTATTGGCCACATTGTGCAATCTGTAGCCTAGACCTATTCTTGTGGCAAGCAGTGAGGCAGTGAGTGGTACACAAATCACTTCTGAATTCAGGAGTTGTGCATCAGAGAGAGAGCTGCTCACTGGTAGGAACCCCAATCTCCTCCTTTTATGATTTTCTCTGCCTTTTTGGGGGGAGTGCAGAAAAAGGGTCCTTTAGGCTCTGTCAGGGACAGCATCCCTATTGCTTTGGTGACAAAACTAACAGACAGAGTGACCAGTAGGAGATGATGAGGGGGAAACATGAAAACAGAGAAAGTTAATGTACCCTCTGGGCTTTGTGCAACATGAAGGCCTGGGGCACCTTCTGCCTCTGCTGACCTCTTGAGGGCTGGTGGACCTCAAGAGGATTTTCTACCATGAGCATAGTTGGGTTTGAACCCACAGGCTTTTGGCCTCAGCCACTCCCTCTGGCAATGAATAACTATGCTGCAGTCTCTGAAAGGAGGAGGCTGTGGACAGATGATGGCAGAAGGAGGTCATACAGCAGAAGGGGAGGCCATGAGTAAGGGGGCTTTTTGTAGGCAGCAAGAGGGGAGCCCTGGCTGAGGGACAACCATGTCCCTCCCCACCTTTCCATTATGTTACCAGCTTTCCCAAATGCACTGGGATCTGTGGCACTGAGAACCAAGGGTTGTGTTTCCATGTAGGTACAAGAGCTCAGGTGGGGAGAAAGGCAGCATGAGGAGGAGGCAGGAAGAGAAAAGAAGAAAAGGGACATTCATGACAGATGGGGAAAGAGATGGCAATTTGTCACTGAAATAATAATTAGAAATACCTTCTGAGGACATCCCCTTAGAGGTTTGCCACAAGATTTGTAATGTAAAAACCCCAGGGAAAGCCTGGGCAAACACTATACTAAATTAGCAGGTGGAAAATACAGATTAATAAATCCAAAGCAAGCATCCTTATGGTGACACTGCAGCATCCAAGCAGCCCTGCTGGCCCTAGGCAGCTGCCGCAGTGACACCGAGTGATGAGTGTGCTCCCTGTTCGTGGCTTTAGCAGAGGACACCTCGTCGTGTGGCCTTGCCTGGTCGCTGTACTTAAAAGGCACAGTCAGAGGCTCTCCGAAGGGTGTTGCCTGGCACTCCAACCCTCGGCGCGTGAGCTACCTACAAAGCACAAAGTGAATGCTAAATAAGGCATCTGGTTTCCATACATATATATATATATGGAAAAAAAAATATGGAAAAATATATATGGTTGTGTATGTGTAGGTTTCCATATAGGCTATTATTTGAGCTGCAATCAGAATAAATAAAGTGATGTTGTTGACCTCTGCTCCCTGTCCTGCCATAGGCAATAACCCTGATGCTGAGGCAAGCTGCAGAGCTTGCCTCCTTCCCGTGGGGCTGACCCTTACCCCTGAGTGCTCTCTCCAACCTTGAGAGGGAAGATTTCAGCTGCCTTCAGCTGCAGAAGTGGAGCCACCTTCCCTCACACATGCCTGACTTATAGACCATTTTAAAGTACGCCATGGGGGCGTCTAATATGCTAATGAAGAAAGTGGGTGGAAGAGCAGGAATTTGAGCACAGCTAAAAATGTACATGCCTAACAATTGCAAATCAGCCTGTGCTGAAGTTACCTAAATGGGTTGGCATCAGTGGAAGGTGGGTGCCTCTACACCTCTTCTTGTCAGTTTGCTGTGAGTACACGGCTAAAAAAAAATCATACGCCTCTCTATATGGACCTGCTGTTTCAGCCAGGGTTATCAGTAAAGGTTTATATCAAAAAGTCCCTACTTTCCACTCTTACTCAAACAGTAGGAGGAACAGTGTCTTCATGCAAAGACATCCCAGACTGGTTGCAGGCATAGTATTTCAGATATGCTGTGGCATCTGGGTGCATTAACAGATCTAAGTATTATCTTGAAATGGACTTCTAAAATATTGGTTAATTTTTGCAACTGGATTCACGTCTGGGTTGTGTCAATGAAGGTTCTGCATATTGTGGCTTGTAGTAAAGCCTTAAATCGTTCACAGATTTGTGTGATTAAGGGTATAAAATCCCAGCCTGGTTTCCTTTTTGAAGCTCGAGCTCAGCTACTTTTATATGACTTGATTTTTCAGATCAGAACTAATGTTTTTTGGATGCATGAAAGAAACATTCGTAGGTACAGCTGCAAGTAAAG